TCAGCTGGACAAATTGAATGATTCACTTAAACAGAAAAGGCCAGAATTGATCAATAGAAAAGGTGTAGTGTTCCACCAAGATAATGCGAGACCTCATACAAGTTTGGTAACTCGCCAAAAGCTTTTACAGCTTGGATGGGATATACTGCCACACTCACCATATTCTCCAGATCTGGCACCTTCTAATTATTATTTGTTCCGGTCTCTACAAAATTTTTTAGACGGTAAAACCTTTACTTCAAATGAGGAAGTCAAAAATCACCTGGATCAGTTTTTTGCCAGCAAAGAACAAAAATTTTATGAGCGTGGAATCATGCTACTGCCAGAAAGATATTGGCAAAAGGTATTGGACCAGAATGGACAATATATAATTCAATAAAATATTTATTCACTATAAATAAAAATCGTCTTTCATTTTCATAAAAAAAAAACGAAATTACTTTCCGAACAACCTAATATTATATATGGACTAAAAATGGGGCTTGCGATTCCCCGGTGTAACTATCTTTTAATTGGGACCTAATATATAATAGCTTTTACTGAAATCAGTATTCTCCAGTCTTTCATGGGGGCTTCTATCACCTAATCTCGAATGGGAAAACTGCAGAAGAAGTAAGAGCAGGAGACTTTGAAATCTTTATCTCTCTTTTCTTTTCCATAGGAAATGAGTTTTTTGGATCTATAACATTTTTATATCGATCATGATGAGGTTCCCACTGTCTCCTTCCACGGTTTTCGCTCGATAATTTATTAGAATTTATCATTTCTGCGAATTCATCAAAAGCTGCGTATCCAGAAGCAGAAACCGGCCTATCAGGCCTCTCAAAGCTCGCGGAGAAGATCCGGGATCCATCAAAGGGGAATTCAAAGTTTCTCTCTCCATTCTATCCTTAGATTCACTTGATCCCTTCTCTTCAAGTCTGAATTTTTTATGTTGAGATATAACATCTTTTTCTTTACTATTTCTCTTGTTAGTCTTATTCTTCTTATCCATTTTCACGAAAATCCCTGGATATATAATAATAATTCAGAATAATTTCTAATTTAGATATATTGATGATGAATATTATGGTATGAAATTGTTTTGTGCCTATAGCTATAATAATTCCAAAGCAATTCTATATCAGAGTTAGAAAGGAGATATTCAGTAATAAAGAAATATAAATATTTATTATTCAAGGAGGTTAGTTACAAGATTGAGAAGAGATAGTTAGTTAGTATGGGTCTTTATCCAATGACCGTTGATTAAATGTAAAAATATATAATTGACAAGTATTAAATGGAAAATAATTTTTGAGTATCGTAAATATATATATTAAATTTACAGCTTCTATTTCTAAATTTTATTTAAAATTATAAGAAATTAATCACTTTGATACTGTTTGTGTTATTGAAAGGTCAACATTGTTATTAATTTATCAATTTCATTAAGGTTATGTAGAGAAAAAAGATAAATTTATATTAATAAAAATGTTTATTAGTATAGAGTATAACATATATCAATCTTATATTATATTATGTAAATGTGTAGAAACAATTAACATTAGGATGTAAATCAACGCATGCACTTTAATGTTGATAGCTGAAACAGATTATAGTATAGTATAAAGAGGAAATAGAAAAAAGTACAATTAGAAGGTTATAGTTAATTCGTTTATTTAGTGAAGATCGTACAAAGAAATTTTGATAGATGGTTAGTAATTCATAAATCAATAGCCCCAAATATAGAGTTCATTAATATACAAATATGCAGATACGAATATCTATTCAACGAAAATAGGAATGTTAATCTTATCAAGTGATTTGTAATTTAGAGAGAAAATAAATTCAGATATCTCCCTAAAATTCGTTACGCTTAAATTTGCTTAGTATTCTCAAATATATGTTTTGTCGGCAAAAGCACGCGGACATAGAAAGCATGTTAATATGCGAAGGTTAATTTATAATATTCGTGTATCACAGCATAACAGTAATCACCTTCTTCAATAGGACTACAAGAGAGAGTCTCAGAGTGAACGTGAATACGTCAGATGTGAATACTTCAGATTCACAGAATATTTTGGCTTTAAATTCCAGATTCACAGCTTTAGGTAGTTTGTTCGCTTTATTGTATATTTTATCTATATAAAATATACTAATTTAAACATACTTCTCTAAATATTAATGTTCAATAGAAACAAAAGTCAGATATTCAATTCAATTTTAAATTTAAGCTTTATGAAATAAATCTAATATAATCAAATATAAAATTATAAAAGATTACCACTTCTTTTTTTTTAATATTATTTTAATATTATTTTTATATTACTTATATTTTATCATTATTATTATTATTATTATTATTTTAATATAAAGTTCGCAAAATTTGATTCACCAATCTTCGACAATTATAATTGTAGAAAAGATGGATCTTTTTAACAATGTGTAACAATCTTTGTATATCATATCAACTATTAATTAGAATAGACATTTACCTAATAATTTAATAAATTATCTAAGAATATATACAAGAAGAATTAATCTATCATTAACATTTCATCAACCATCAAGTATCAAATATTTGTAAATCAATCCAATTATAATAATGATTTATAGCTTAGTAAAAGTTTAATAAAAAATAATGAGTTATATTTACAAATGAATCAAATGGAGTAATTATGCGAATAAATAAATATTGTTATAAATAGTTATATACATAATACGATGAATAAATTTAGTATAATTATACAAAATATATATTAATTGATTGGACGTTGGAGACACATTGTTATACTTCTTAAGAATCACAGCAATATTGGTAAAATCATATTAGAGAGAATGATTAATATCATCTAACTTTATAACCAATGTTATTTCTATCTTATAAATTTTCTTTTATTCACAGTCTTTGTATGTGTAAGATAAATAGTTAATAACAAAATAGTGAATCTCCGACGTTTCAAAATTTCAAACATGTATATCTTAAAAGATCACAGACTGCATTTGTCAAATTAATAGATAATCATAATTTACCATATAATTTTTTGTATACATATTCTGGACTATTTTGATATTGTAAAATATAAAGTGAAACTTACTATTGATTTATTATTTATTAAGATTCCGTTCAACAAGTAGATGAGGCAAATGTAAGGGATTATACTTTGTGAAATGAGTTATCATAGATTATAAAATTATATATAAATTAGCCTTTTGCTGTGTGCATTCACTGGATATCCGTCTCATCTTTCCAGGATACAATTGGTCAGGATCTCAATTTTACAAATTTCAGATGCCAGTCTTTACTCTCCAGGATATGATTTTCAAAGATCCGATTTTGTAAATTTCCAGAAAAATGATAATTAATTGTCCTTGTTTAGATCTGTTCACGTGCCACGAGGAGGCATCTTGGAAAGTAAATACTGCGCATTATCCTTCCTTTCCAGTAATGGTTCAGCTATATATTGGAATCTTCCGCACACTTAGTTTCTCGCGTCCTCCATTTCAACACAGCATGATGTGCGTCAAAATTCACAGTCTTACATGTATTCCAATTAAGCAAATTATTTCCGGACGAGTCAGAGAGAACAACTACCTCGGCGCCGGTTCAGAACGGAATCCCATAATTCTTCTTCTTAAATTTAATGGCTTCCGACTCCCGAAATAATAAACAGGTCAGATCACGTTCTTATGAGAGGTACAAAAAATTAAAAGTGATGCAATGCCTTGCGAAAATGGCGAAACCCATCCGAACACCGGGCGCCTGCGTCTACGCGTACTGCGAACGCGCGTCCGGACGAACGAACGGGTCGTCCAAAACCACGGGGCGGCATACAATGAGTATTTCAATGCTCGGTCAAAGTCGGCAACATTTTCAAAAATATGCAACTTGTAGCACTCGAGTCGAGACACGTCCGCTGCGGGCGAGTGATTCTTTAGAATCCCATAATATAGTAAGTGTCCCATGGAATCCCATAATAAGTGTTCTATAATCAGAGTCTGCTTATGATGGAAGGGATAACAAGATATGTACAGTTTGCAAACATCTCGCTCTGAAGCTCTGCCGTCTCTGTCTATGAATGTCGATAAGAGACTAAGGCTGTCAACTATGAAACGCTAAACATGGGGCGATATTCATAGTCCGTTTTTATTTTAAAACTATCTTAAATAATGTTTTAAGATGCTAATACAGTCCTCGGATTGATTTATGACATCTTAAGATTGTATTTAAGACAGTCTTAATCGATTATGAATAATACGGCCTGTTTCGCATCGTGAATTAGTACTGAATTTTTTCTTGTTTAACATACTTTATGTTTCTCTTTTTATAGGAAGATTCTGACACGTTCAGATGACTAGCTGGCGATTAAAATTAAAAAAAACGTAAAAATTTAGTAGTGTCTAATCATAAATATTACGACAGCAAGTCCATGGCCATGCATCATGCATTTCAAGTAAAAACATAATGTATTTTTATTGTGCATTTAAATGGAATGGATGAAAAATATCGGATCAATCACAAACCGGCGAGAAAATGGCCAGATTCTGATTAGAGAGACAGCGGTTACTAAACAAGAGCATTATACCCGTTATGCCACGGAATTTGTTGAAACTTGCTTCAGTGTACGTATTCCGCTCGGAATTTTTCAACGTCGATTTTCTCGACAGTGACTGAGAAACGCATCTTACTATTTGGCCAAAGTAATGGGCGAATTCAAGACGGCAAAGCAGCTAGGAATGCTTACCGAGCGATTGAATATGAATGATTGGATCTGTAAGTAACAATAACAATTATGTTCATTTACTCGGTAAGCAGGCTAGCCGACTCGAACGCGCTCAATGTCTGGTGATACACTTCACGTACCGTAATTTTAAATTTTTCTAAATTCCGTACGCCTCTCCTTGTAAGGATCTGAAAATATTAAATTAATATATTAGATAGGATATAATAGTGATTATTTCATAAAAAATAATAAATCGAAATGCCATTCTGACTTGTCTCTTTTACTTATTTATCATAGCATTGTCTAGCATTCTGGAGAACATCGCTCTCTTCGGAGACATCGTGCTGCATTTGCCGGACATCACTCACAGAATACTGAGGACACAACCGGGATGGAACTCCACAATATACTGGTCCCTGAATTTCGCCAATCAGACACGGTATTTACTGAATAAATCGACCATCACGATGTTTCGTTTGGTCGAACAGGAGCTGAATATTACGGAACGCGATCCGGCCTACTTGAATCCGTATAGGAGTGCTGCGCACACCGTCCAGCGCGAAGATTCTATAAAGAAGAAGTCTGTGAAGAAAGAAAAACGCAAAAAAGGACCGCAGATTGCTAAAATCGAACTGTGAACCCTCACTTTTGATGCTCGCGAGATTTCTCTGACCGGTTCCTAAATCGTTAAAAAGCGAGCTCTCTGCGACGCTGCCCCGCTGCGCCGTTAAAATCCCAGAGAATATCAATATCATATCTGATTCTAAGGGACTGATTCTATAACTTTTAACGACAGTCGTTGATGTCGGTGCGTAGATATTATGTAGAATAAAAAAAGCTGCGCAACGACTGTTATTAAAAGTTACAGAATCGTATCCTACAGGTGATAACGAAGAGCTTCCGAATGGCTTAATTCAATGAGAATTACTTATTTACTATATATTTCAATATATATATAATACAATGTCTATATACATATATAATTAATTACTATAAGCTATTAAGAATGTGCATACTTAGCATTTATATTTAATAATATATTAATTATTATATATTATGCAGATGTTGTTATATACATCGAATTCCAAGATAAACCCTTACAAACATTTAACTAGAAGAAAGTGATAAATTTAATATTCAAAATACACAATTAATCTTTTAGTATTAAATTGACTACTATTAAATTAGATTTTTGTAAGAGAAGTATTCTTTCAATATTAAATAAAATTGTTGCCAACGACAACTGTATTTCTAACTTCCGTAAAAACAGTTGTACATAAAATTCTAACGTTCCTGGTATTTGACTGTTCCAATTATCGAAGTGTTAACACAATTTGTTTGACTTTCGGCGATGAAAAATCGTCACGGAGCTGCGCCGATCCATTTGAAAGCGAAATGAGCGGAAAAGACTTGGTGCAAATTATGAATTTGCGGCGTATTGTGTCTGATATGAAAGACAGCTTTCCTCGTTGATTTGTTCCGATGCGATGGTGAACCGTCGCGCCGCTCCGGTAGAAAGTGGTCAACCAATGAGCTGAGAACTGATTCCTGTGCCGGCCAGTTCTCGAGAACTGTCGCGACGACGGTGTATCCTTGGCGCGCAGTGTTGCGAGAGCCGATCAACCCGGTGGATCGATCAGTCGGTAGTTTGATGATACATTGCTGTGGTCACGGTGAATTGTACGAATCGAACCAGGGAAGACACGCGAAGGAATTGGAACGCGCGACCATCAGTTAGGGAACACTGAGACGTCGCGCGCGGTTTACGATGAGGTTCCAGGAAGCGGCGCTACTCTGCGCCGTCTTGACCATCGTTGCAGGTAGGCGTGCCTACGGTGTTTTTCACGTTACGTCGACCACCTTTCTCTCCATCGATGTTCTTATCTCGAAAGATCGGAGTGTACGCATATGTGGGAGAGTGAGAAAATAGGAAAAATTATTTGAAATTCTCATCATGGATCACACGAGACTCTTTCCCAGTAGTTTCTCCGTACAATAAAAATCGTTATAATAGGAATGCTTCTATCCTCTGCGCGCGCGCTTGTGTGTGTGTGTGTGTGTAGGAAATTGCGAAATTTCAAGATTGAATTTTTATCGGTTTCAATTACTAAGTTCCTTTTACCTACCGTTCACCTGTAATACTCTCGGTGTATTATCGTATCATGTTCAATAGATCAATGAGATGGATTACAGTTGCTTTCCAAAAATTATGAAATTTCTAAACGATCCTCAGCGAACACTGAATATAATTCATATAACATAATGTAAAATGTAGATATTTACGTATATGTCATATATCAGTTTTGTGTGTGTGTGTGTGTGTGTGTGTGCGCGCGCGCGCGCGTGTGTGTGTGTATAGATTCGACATTCTGAATTATGCAGTCATGCTGCTCTTCGGAACTGTATCTGACCAGTTCTAACAGGTCATTATTGTTAATTTCGTCTTTTTTTCCTCTGATGGTATCCCAGCCTTCTCTCACGGAATTATGTTTTTTGATAGTGTATCCTTTTCTTGTTTCTATCCTCGCCTTTCTCTTCGTAGCCGTTATTTTTATCTATAGTATCATGTGCGAATAAAAAAATATTTAATTATAACAATCCAATAAATAATTGCATATTAAGCAACTCGCTCTTACATATATCGTACATATTCCATATTTGTATATACTTTATTACAGAAATAAACGTGCATATATGAATTCATCTAATTGAAAAATAGTTAATCAGACGTGGTTTTATAGTCTCATTAATTGATTCATTTAAAAGATTCTTCGATCTTTATCTATAAGAATCGATAAGAATTCATGAACCTGGTGAGCTAGGTTTTAGAATGAAAAAAAAAAAAAAAAAAAAAAAAAAAAAAAAAAAAAAAAAAA